CCCTTTGAAATATAATGAAGAAAATTGAGAGAAAATGGGGGTGAAGGGTGGCGTGAATAAGAGTTAGAATGGCTAGGGTTTAGGTTATTGCAACCTTATAACTAAATAAATATATATATTCCAATTTTGCCCTTGCTGATATGTTTACAAGTCCTAAAACACTTGTAAACATGAATGAACAAGGAATTACAAGTCCTAATATTTCTGCAGATTCTTATTATGATAAACTTGTAAAATTATACCCTTGATCTTGGCTCATGTAAATGATCCTGTTATATTATTTATTTTGTTTCCGCTGCATATACGAGACCGTTTACTAACAATTCCATAATTCCAAAAATGGTTCAGAACAGTTCGCCGCGGCGATATTTTCTCGGGAATTCGTTGTCGCGGCGAAGTCTGCGATTTCCAGTTTTTATCAAAACACACAGTTTTATTTTAGAAACGTTTTGAGGTTTTTGGACCGACTATATAAGAAAAACTTAGCCATTTTTAGGGAGGTTCGACATTTTGGGAAAGAAGAAGGGAAGATTTAAGATTGAACTTTGTGGATTCATCAATTGGGGAAGATCTTTGTTCTCTTTTCTTTATTTCAATATGTTGAATACATTGTTTACTGTTTTTACTTCTATTTGTGTTAATTTCAGTATGAACTAACTCACCTTGGGTTAGGGTTTTGATGTAATTGGGATTTCTTTGTTTAATCAATGAATTAGTGTTGTTTCTACATTCTATTGCATCGATTGTGTGATTATTCTTGTTTACATTGAAATTATCTATTGAACATGATGAGATTGGGAAATGAATCATGTATGAGCTTCTTAGGGTAATCACCATTGTTGTATTGAACACCAGAGATAGGTTTGAGAATCAATGAAATCAAATTAGGATTCCATTAGCTTAATGAGCTTGAATCTATTAATTTTCAATTTGTTGGATGTGGAAGCTTAATAGGGAAAAGTAGGAAAACATAGCTTGAGAAGGTATGTTTTACGCATTAGGGAGTTAGATTTATAATTCGTGCATGTGAGTGTAGAAGTAGCATAATTTGTAGATTAATTCATAGAATCTTAGTGAAGTCAAAACCCTAACCGTTTGCTTTAATTGATATTTTCTCTGAATTAGTTTTATTGTCATTTATTAGCCTTTTAAGTACATAATAAATTTTGTTTTCACTGTAGCTTAAATTCATCCCGCAAATCCAAACATTTTCGGTATCTCCAACTTGATAAACAACTAGGAAAATCAGCGCTTAACAAACAATCCTCGTGGGAACGATACTTTACTTTTCACTTTATTACTTCTTACGACTAGTGCACTTGCTATACATTACATGTTGCAGTTACAACGCATTAGCAGACTCGGTCGACCTTGCTAGAGCTCGCTCCTGGTCCTTAGTGAATTCCTCCATCTGATTTTTGGGGTCAAACTCAGCTTGCTTGTCCTCCACTTGATCGTCTCCCCCAACTACCTCAACCTCGATCTCCTCCCAAAGCTCAATGTCACTATCAGGGTCCCAATGCGCGATGCTCTCAGCCTTGTATCCTTTATAAGCTTGGCACAAGCCTTGATCATGGCGTCTTTAGCAATAGTGATCCATTTCCAACCAATTCAACAACACAACATCCCATAAATCCAAGTTAAAATTTGGCCCTGTACAAAACAAGAACAATCTCACACTTGCAATTTCAGACCAAGATAAGTAGAATCCACTAACTTGAATTGATTCACCACCAGATCCCCTTGCCAAGACTTGGATAAAGAAGGCAAAAACAAAGAACACAAAAGTTCTCTCTCAAATGGATAAACCAATTTTCATATTTTTCATAAGCTAATTGTTACAATGAAATAGTTGCCCTTATATAAACAAATACAAGGATAAACAAGTAATCGACAAATACAATAAAATGAAAATAAACTTAACTAATATTACAAGCCATTCATTCAAAAAGCAAGGCCATGCCTATTTAATGCAAAGAGACATGATTCCCTAATTCTAGGATCTATGTCTTTAACCACCCTATTAGTTGAAATAAGCTTATTTCATTAGATCAAAACTTGATCAATGATCCTAATTAAGTCTACTATTAAGGGTGTAAGAATTTGGGTGTTGAGAATCATGAAAATGGATCAATGTGGATCTTCCCCTTTGGAATTAGACTTGGGCCGGATTGGACCTTTTCAACACTTGGACTTCTTTCTTGGTGGACTTGAGCTTCCCTTCTTAGAGTTGGACTTGGAATGCTTTGGGAAAAAATGCTTGGGCTTTCTCCCTCCTTGGAACTTGCTTGGGCCGAATTCCCTCCATTGCTTTCTACATTCCATAATCCAAGTGTTTTAGGACTTGGAGTGAAATTCTTCAATTTAACCGAATTAGCAAGTGTTTTAGGACTTGAAATTCCTTGTCCACTCATGTTTACAAGTGTTTTAGGACTTGTAAATGTATCAAATAGATTTGCACCACTCCCTGAGTGTGACAAACTCTTCCTCCTTCTTAGCTAGTTCTCTCTTCGCCTCAAACAACGCCCTTTTCGCATTGGCCAACGCCTTCTTTAATTCGATCGATTCCAACTCAGTCTACCGTTGCTTAGCAGAGCTCTCCTTCGCATTCTTCAGGGTCTAGGCCTCCCGATTTTTCAAATTGGCGTTGGACTTAGTAAACTCCTAGATTCATGTATCTTGAGCGACTACGACCTTCTTCAAATAGAGGCTCCCGCTGGTAGAAGTATGGATAGAATTAGAAGAAATTGAGAGAGATATTTGAAGTGTGTTTTCTTTGCAGGATGTGTGATGATTTAAAGGAGTTGAACTCCAATTTTGGATGGTTAAGAAAGAAGTAGAATTAAGGTTAGAATAGAGTTTATGTATGCACACATATTATTTGATGAAATGCCTAAAAGAAACATGAGTAGAAGTAGAGAACCTTACTTTATGCAACATAGCATAGTTGCATTTCATGAATGTATATAAGAAAGATTCTAGGCATGAGCCATCCATATGCATATGTTTATTTGAGTAATCACCAAAGAAAGAAATATGAGAAATGAGAAAGAAACACTCTAAGAATAGAGATAAAGAAAAGAACTAATTCTCTTAGAATAAAGAGAAAGAAAGAGTTAGCACTAGAGAATAAAATGAATAATCAATACTTTAACCCATAAAAATCCGAACTACAATCAAAACCCTAACCCATAATGGTTAGTTCATGGCTAAATCAACAACATAAATGAAAGAAACTAAAATATTAAAGTTCAACATAATGAAAATAAAAGAAAAGATAAGAAATCTCCCCAAATGATGAATCCCCTCGTTCGAAATCAAATCTTAACCCTTGTTCAACCTCAAAATTCCTCAAAATGAAAACTAAGCAAGTGTAAAAAACTGCTCTAACCCTATTCGAAGACTCCTACAAAAAGGCTAAGTGTTTTCATTTATACCTCGCCTTAAATTCCTCAGAAAAACACGCAGAAGTTAAACTGTGCTTTTTACAAAACTGGAAATTACAAACGTCGCTGCGGCGAAGAAAGAAGCAGACTTAGTGCGTGACTGGCGCACTTCGTCGCGGCGAAGAACAGCCTTCGCCGCGGCGAAGCTTCCTGACAATTTCTGAATTTACAGAATTGCCCATTTGCTTGCATCTTCACTTAATTCTTCGATCTTCGGTGCTCTCCCTTGGGAACAAGCTTCATAGTGCTTCACCCTGCTTTAGAACTCTCCCAACGTCTAAGATCCACTTACTTTCGAGTCCAGAATTTTCAATTCTGTCTTTATTAGCTCAAAATGTCCATTTTAACCTGAAACATGAAATGTAAGGAATTAAGCAACAATTTAGGTCAAAATGAACTAGAAAGTACCTGAAATCCGACTCAAAAGTCTAATAAAAATGGTATAATCCACGGATTATCAATTGACACAAACTAATATGACTTATAAACAATTAACAAAAGACCTGACATATTGTTGATACCAATTAACATATTGCGATAATACACAACTAAACATATGCCCTTTTTATAATTCCTTATTTAGACCTTTCAAATACTAACACAATTAAATACGAAGAAATGTTTGCAATGTCAATACAATGCACCTATATAATTATTAATAAACATGTATGCTTTTACTACCAATACAATGCACCTATGTAATCCAATCTTTATGTCTATTTATTTAGACTTTGGAATACTAATGCAACAATTTATATTGTCTACATCATCACCAATAAAATTCAACCACATGGTAATCACAAATCCAAGGTGTCCTTATGGTTAGACCTTTAAAATTTTAATGCAATGCACCTATATAATTAGTATTTTTATTAATTATTAATACAACAATGCGATGCACCTATGTAACCCAATCTTTATGTCTATTTATTTAGACATCATCACCAATAAAATTCAACCACATGACAATCACAAATATAAGATGTCATTATGGTTAGACCTTTAGAATGTCAATGCAATACACCTATATAATTAGAATTGTTCCCATTTTTTTAATTAATTAATAATTATAGATGGAGTAATAAATATCAATCCAATGTGTCAAGATAGATCAATTTGATTGGCTTGTCAATCCAAGGTGTCAAAATAGAGCAATTTTAAAGCTTCTAAAATGTGTTACATGACGAACAATCCGCATGAGTATTCATAGTGAACAACCTACATTGGTATTCATGGTGAACAACTAGCATGGGTATTTATGAATCTTAGAGCTAAAAATATCTCATTAAACCACATATACAACGTGACAAGAAAGAGTAATTCTAGAGCTCCAAAATAAAATAATTTTAGAGCTTAAAAAGAAAGAAAAAAGTGTCATACATATAACTCAAATAGGTATGTTTTTACCTTTAGATTTGAAATGCCAATTCAGTTATTAATATCTCTTTATAATATCATCAATAAAATTCAACCATATAATAATCACAGATCCTGCCTAAATAAAATAATTCTATAAATTATAACATGTGCTATGACCAACAACTCGCATGGATATTCACTTACAGTCGAAACTTGGGAGGCATATAGTTAAATTTCCTCGTTTTCAGTGTGCAGTGATTTCCCTTCCTCTTCTAACCTTCACTCTCTCACTCGCTCTCCAATTCCGGCAACAACAAAGAACACCGAACCCAAAACGCAGAACCGAAAAGCAAAAAACAACGACGAAAACGAAACCATGTTTTCATTAATTCTAAAACGCACAAACCAAACCCTAAAACATCTAGCAACCAAACACCTCCTTATCCCAACAAACCCTCCTACCACCTCCACCACTCCCAAAACCCTCCCTCTCCCGTCCAGCCACCGCATCCGGCCGCCCTGCCGCCACTTCCACGGTGGCTCAGAAGACTACGACTACGTACAAGCCGACGTGAACTGTCCCCGATGCAGCAGCGAGTTCCCGGTGTTGTTTTCTAACCGTCCGTTGTCGTTAACGAACCGGGAGTCCGGCGTTTATCAGGCCGTTAACTTCTGTCCGAGGTGTAAGACGGCGTTCTATTTCCGGCCGTTTAAGATGGAGCCGTTGGAGGGGAGTTTTATTGAGTTGGGGAAAGTTAAGGTTAAGGTGAAAGAGGAGGATGTGAGTGAAATTGGGGAGAAAGAGCGTGGAGGTGATGGAGATTTTGACTTGCCGACGCCGAAGGAGATTTGTAAAGGTCTTGATGTGTTTGTGATCGGGCAGGAGCGAGCTAAAAAGGTTTGGGGTTGTTTCTGAAATTTTTTACAGTATAAGGACTTGCCGAACATTTTTTAAACCTGTAGAGTCCACATTGTGGTTAAAGGTGTTTGTTTTAGTATCGAGCCTTACATTTCGAGTATATATTTTGGTTAAAGGTGTTTGCTTTGGTATCAAGCCTTACATTTTGAGTTCATATTTTGGTTAAAAGTGTTTGCTTTAGTATCGAGCCTTACATTTCGAGTACATAATTTGGTTAAAGGTGTTTGCTTTAGTGTCGAGCCTTACATTTAGAGTACATATTTTGGTTAAAAGAAGCAATGGTGACCAAAATATTGGTTTGGTAAAGGTATCAGGTCCGTGGCAAGCCCCTACTTTTGTATGATACCTTGTGTTTATGTGAAATTGAGCTGTAATATGGTATGTGTTAATAAATTCATTATTTGTTATGATTTGTATTTTGTACTAGTTTGATATTGATCTTGGTAACACTTTTGGGATACGTAATTCGATATTGTCGCTTCGCCTTTCTTGTAATACTAATTGTTCTACAGAACATTAGGGTTCAAGTTATAGTAATTTCCTTGTTTCATCAGTTCACTTCATTATTTAACTAGTATCACATTCGAAGTTATGTCATGATTTCTCATTGTTGTCACAAATTTAACATTGGAAGTTACAAGTTTTATGCATAATGATAGAAATTTTATTTATCGAGTAGAAGTATGATTTTTGAAGTTGCTATTCTTATATATGAAGTCACAAATGACATTCACATTGACAAGCCTCAACTTTCTTGCTTGACATTACTACTTTAAGTGGCGATGATAGAGTTATTACTGCTTAGCTTTGTCAATTTTCTTTATCATAGATACTTTCCATGCTTTCGTTAACTTGGTTGTTCTGTGATAGGTGCTTTCCGTGGCAGTTTACAACATTACAAAAGGATATATCATGCCACCGTGCAAAAAGAGTTAGTTCTTAATGGACTTCTTGTCAACCCATATTAGGGTCCTTAATCTTCTAGTTCTTATTAAGTGGCTCCTGTCATTGGCTTTTAGTATTTCTATGCTAGGCGTTCACATTCTAATAATGTTGTCTTTTACTGGTTAAAAGTTCAGTTGCTGTCTGTTGATGCTGCTCTATTGAACTTGCTTATATGAATTCCGGTCGTGTAGAATTGGGTCAATGCAATTTTGGAAGTGATGATAATGTTGAATTGGAGAAAGGCATGTACTTTTATGGGTCCTACTGGATCAGGTGTTGTTATGTCTTCTGTATATTGGTTGTTGGATATTGCACAAATTTATTACCTTTTTATATTATCACATGTACATTACTTAAGAGGACTGATGTCTTCATGTTTGTATTTACCTTGACATAAGGATAGGGAAGACATACTTGCTAAACACTAGCACGTATTGTGAATGTGCCATTTACAATCACTGATGCAACAGCTCTACACAGGCAAGTTCATTTCATCTTTTTGATGTATACCTACCCTACTGAGTTAGGTATAACATTTAGAACTAGGGTTCATTTTCTAAATCATATGTATTCTGAACTTCTGTGCATGTGATCTTCTCTCTCTAGCGGCTTGGTGTGTGCATGTGCAAACATATGAATATTTTCTGTTATTGTTTCTCTGTAATGATACATACATATAAATATAGTTGGTTAGCTAATTGTTTCAATAAGTTGAACTGTTTTCTTTTTCTTTCTCCAGGCTGGTTAGTTGGAGAAGACGTGGAATCAGTATTGTACAAGTTAATAGTGGTATGTTTCACACTATTCAAGTCAGTCTACTCTTTAGCTTTAAAAAAAATGAAAGTTATTTAAGGCTTGGGGTGATATTTTATTGATCATCAGTGGTTGGTTCATGTGTTCTTTTATGTGGGTATAAGGACTGTAAATTTCTTAATTTCAGATCCAGTGATACCTAAATTTAAACAATTAAAGCTGAGATAACCACTCGTTTTTATTCATTATCAAAAGAAAATGAATAATGTAAAGGTTTGGGACCCCTGAGAATCTTTATTTTTTTCATTGCCACCTCCTGTCATTCTTGCCATTTTTAGTTATTCACGATTTGAGTTTCCTTTTTACACTAAGTTTGTTAGGGCCGTAGTCCATGGACGTTTTTATCTTCCATTTATTTCCTGTGAACATTTGATCCAATTTAATTGATTCCCTACTGATTCCCGCCACGTATTCTTGTATAGCATCAATGTAACATCTCTCTTGGATCTTGATTGGCATTTAGGCTGCTGATTCGATGTGGAGGCAGCTCAGCAAGGAATTGTCTACATTGATGAAGTCGACATAACAAGGTGTTGTTTTTTTGTGAATATGATTTTTCTGCTCTTAGTTACTTAGATTCCTGATTTGTTATCATGCTATCAAATATTTGTGCAGACTGAGAGTTCAAATGCTGGCAGAGAGTATCTGAGAGGGAGTTCAACAGGCATTACTGAAAATGCTAGAAGGAACTGGTGATGAACCGTTCTATTAGTCATGCTGGTTTATAGTGTTGTTCCTTGTGTACTTCTTTTGCCATGGATTTAATTTGGCTAATGCAGTGTGACATACATGATATTGTGATAGCTGATTTGAAATTTTTGTACTTTCTAAGAATTTTTAGTTCTCGGAATTTTAGTGTTTAGGCCTTTTTCTCTTTTGTGATTTTGGTTATATATTTCTTGTTATATAAGACTAAATGTTTCTAATTCTCAGGTAGTGAATGTTCCCATACCAAAAAAGGAGTTCGAAAGCATCCATGCAGTGATAACATACTGGTATATTGGGCCTAAAGTTGATTGTTTGTTAATAGACATTTTAGTTCCATGTGATTGATTTCTGTGATCATACTTGAATGGCAATCATACATGTTTGCCTATTAAAGCTGCATGCATTTGTATTGTTACTATAAACTATGATATAAGCAGATGAAGCAAGTTTTCCCCTTTTTTTCTTTAGTTTCTCAAATGACTACCGGTATACATGTTACTTGTGCATCTTATAACTTTCTTGTGATGAATACAGATTGATACAAAAACATCCTTTTCATATGTGGAGGGGCTTTGTAGACTTGGGAAGACCATTTCGGAGAGGTAATGTCGTTACTCAAGCATTGTTAACGTAAACTCTTTTACCAAAGTTGCTTCACTAAGGAGAGTGTGAAGAGTTCTCAATGACTTATCTTCCCAGACGGCAAGATTCTTCTATTGGTTTGGAGCACCAGTTCGTGCAAGCATGAGAACCACTGGTTGACTGATGCTCTTGTGACATCATCTTGTTGGAATCTGTGAGAATCGAAACCTAAATGGCTAAATGTTGCTGGTTATATTCCATTGTTATATATTTAGTTAGGACCGTCCTGATATAATTATATCAAGACGGTCCTTACTAGGGAACTACTGTATATATATATTCATTTCTGGAGTTGAGATTTGCTTCTCCGTTTTTCAGGTAGAAAGTGGTGATCTTATAGCATATGGCCTCATTCCTGAATTTATTGGACGGTTTCCAATCGTAGTGAGTTTATCAGCTTTAATGAGGACCAACTTGTTCGGGTGTGTCCATCTTCTGATATCTTGCTTATGTGATTTCCATTTTTCTTTTTCATTGTCAGTAGATCTTTGTGGTAGGGCCTTGACATGCTCACCAGAGCACAATGGGCAAGGTTTTTTAATGAAGTGAAAGATTTGCCTTTTTTTCCCTCAAGACTTATGGTTTTCTTCTATCCTTTAACTATAAGAAAATTCATAAAATATGAAACATTATTTTGTGAGCAGGTTCTCATGGAGCCAAAAAATGCTCTTGGTAAACAGTACAAGAAGAGTTCGGCATGAATTGTGAGAGTTCAATCCATCTTGTTGATGGCTTGGCAATGCTCCAAATGCCTCCATTAGTTCTTGCTGCTGTGGCAACAGTCCATACGCTAGCTTATAATCATTAATATTAATCCTACTGATTTTAATGTCAGGTTAAACTGCACTTTATTGAAAACGCACTGAGATGATTGCAAAGAAAGCAATGGCAAAAATACTGGTGCTCGAGGTCTAAGAGCCATATTAGAAAACATTCTTACAGAAGCAATGTTTGAGGTATATATGAGTATAGGTCCTAGCATCTTTCAAATATGTTACATATTGGATATTGAAAAGAATTCTGTCCAATTTTCCTTGTATATCTTAATCCAATTGAAGGTTTTCTTTTCCCCTTGCACTTCTTGAGCAGATTCCAGACACCAAGACAGGAACTCTAATGTAGTTGCAGTTTTGGTTGATGAAGAGGCCGTTGGTCAGTCGATGCAGCAGGGAGTGGTGCTAAAATTCTTCATGGAGATGGTGAATCTGAGCAAATTCTTCATGAATTGAAATCAACGGATTTTATGGTAGTTTTCTCATTGCTCCCATCCTATGTCGTCAAAAACCTTCTTCCCCACTTAAAATGTCATTTTTTTCCAGCCTCAACACTGCCTAGAATTACAAAATTAAGATGATGTTATTGAAGTAGTCAATATGAGGAGAGTAATTTACATTTTTTATTACTTATCGAGAAGATTATCAAGCTAGAACTCTTGCTATAAAAAACTAGTGCTGTCAAGAACAAATAGGTTTCGCATTCCAAAAGCAGAAGTGCTTTGATTGAACCAAAGAAAAGCATATGATCCCCAACACAGTCGACCTCATTTTCATCCTCATCGGTCCCTCTAGAGAATTTTTTGGCTTACATAAACTATCTTGAAATCAGATAGGTTCAACTGTTTTAAGAATTTCACATCTCATTTTTCTATGCGACGATATCATCCATGACAAAAAGTTGTGCTTCGATAAATTATTTATAACAAAATTAACCTTGGCTTGCAGGGGAAAGGCAAGGTTGGACAGGGTGGATTGGAGGTTCAATCAAGATCCTTGAGCTTGTAACTGAGTCAATGTGTGATCTTGTAAAAATTATGTGTACAAAAATGTAAATTATTAGGGGTGAGCAAGGGTAGCGGGCAGAATCTGAACCTGCGGGTAGAATCGGAATCGAAACCGGAACCTTTTCGAAAGCGGCACTGTGCAGATAGGTTTCGGTTCCATTTTATTGGAACCGATACTGTGCGGTTCCGGTTTCAGTTCTTATGTGTGGAGGAATCAGAACCAGAACCAGAACATGAAAAAAGAACATGAAACGAGTATCCGGTTTGGAACCTATTTAGGAACCTGTTTTGGAACCTGGGCTCCAATGAAATATTTGTGAATAATGGGGGTTTTCATTATTTTACATATAAAAAATTTCAAATTTTAGAATAACCTAATTAAATAAATATACAATGATCTTTATTACATATAAATTATACCATATTAAAAACTTTAATAAATTATAATATATTAATATTAAAGTTTTGATTAATTAAGTGTATAATTGGAAGTAGGATCAATTTAAAGTGTTTTAATGTTATTAAAAGAATCATTTTTTAATAAAATAGTATATTTGATTGAATAATAATATATTTGATTATTTACTTCAATTATCAAGTTCTAAATATATTTATAATAAATTAGTAATTAATTAATTATATATAATAAATTGATAAATATTAATAAATTTAATTACAAGTTAAAAATCATACTTAATCAATTATAACATTACATTACAGTTAAATGATTATTTAATTAATTATAATTTTATAACATTGCTTAATTGATTTATAGTATAATTAATTATAACATTACATTAATTGATTATTACTTAATTAATTGACTTATAATATTTAGTATATTACTTAATTAAATAATTAAAAATTTAATTAATTATAGCATTACGTTATAGATTTATAGTATAATTATCTAATTAATTATAACATTTTATTACAAACATTAATACAATACTTAATTAAATGATTAAAAATTTAATTAATGATAATATTACATTAAAGATTTATAGTATGATTATTTAATTCACTATAACTTTATATTATAGTATGATCACATAATTAATTACATCATTATATAATTAAATGATTACTTAATTGATTATGACATTATATTATAAACATTAGTAATTTAATACATAAACATTAGCACAATACTTTATTAAATGATTAGATATTTAATTAATTATAATCCTAGTTAGTAAATACGGGTACGGCAAAAAAATGGTACGAGAATTTTACTGGTATAATACGGCAAACGGTGAAAAAAATGTTTATAAAAATTCGGCCATAAAATTCGGATACGGGAAAAATACGGTACGGAAATATACGGGTTTAATACGGTGCATTGTCAATAATACATTTTGAAAAATACGGCAATATCAATCTTAGTTTTAACGCTTTTATGGATTACCTGGTTAAAATCAATATAATATTTCAAATGCAAAGTATTCAATTAACCAATAACACAAATACACAATATATAACTGATATTCAAATTAAGTCTTCAGACTCAAACACAATATTTAGCCCAGATTCAACTATAGTGTCAAACCAAACACATAAATCATAACAAAACCAAAATTAAAAAAAGTTCTTAAACTGGTTTGGATGTAATATGTATAAGGAAATATTAGATAATTTCTTTTTATAATTTACTTTTTTACAATTTTACGAAATTTATAAAATTAAAAAGTGATATGAAAATATATATCTGATCATCTCAAAACTTGATTAAATTCATAAAATCTTGATATAATTATCTTTAATAATCATTAAGATTACACGTCATCAACTTAGATCCAAACATTGAACTTCATTAAATAGCCAAAGCCAATCGGTAAACACAAAAACGACACTGTTAATCCGAAATCAGAAACAAAAGCACCACTATAAAATATAAATTCCTGGCGAAGTAATTCTCTCTCCTCTCCCCTCCTTCGTGGCACACTCATCACAACTTCAACCATCTTCTCTCGGAGGATTCAGATCTGGTCCTTGTACAGCCTTCGTCCACCGTTCAATTTTTATTTTTCTGTTGACTTCTTCCCAGGCGGCAAGATTCTTCTATTGGCTTTGGAGCACCAGTTCGTGCAAGCATGAGACCACTGGATTGACTGATGCTCTTGTGACATCATCATGTTGGAATCTGTGAGAATCGAAACCTAAATGGCTAATGTTGCGGTTAATTCCATTGTTATATATTTAGTTAGGACCATCCTGATATAATTATATCAAGCGGTCCTTATAGGGAACACTGTATATATATATCATTTCTGGAGTTGAGATTTGCTTCTCCGTTTTTCAGGTAGAAGTGGTGATCTTATAGCATATGGCCTCATTCCTGAATTTATTGGACGGTTTCCAATCGTAGTGAGTTTTCAGCTTTAAATGAGGACCAACTTGTTCGGGTGTTTCCATCTTCTGATATCTTGCTTATGTGGATTTCCATTTTTCTTTTTCATGTCATGTAGATCTTTTGGTAGGGCCTTAACATGCTCACCAGAGCACAATGGGCAAGGTTTTTTATGAAGTGAAAGATCTGCCTTTTTCACTCAAGATTTATTTTTTCTTCTATCCTTAAGTAATAAGAAAATTCATAAAATATGAAAATTATTTTTGTGAGCAGGTTCTCATGGAGCCAAAAAATGCTCTTGGTAAACAGTAACAGAAGATGTTCGGCATGAATAATGTGAGAGTTGATCCATCTTGTGATGGCTTGGCAATGCCCAAATGCCTCCATTAGTTCTTGCTGCTGTGGCAACAGTCCATACGTTAGCTTATAATCATTAATATTAATCCTACTGATTTTAATTTCAGGTTAAACTGCACTTTATTGAAAACGCACTGAGATTGATTGCAAAGAAAGCAAGTGCAAAAAATACTGGTGCTCGAGGTCTAAGAGCCATATTAGAAACATTCTTACGAAGCAATGTTTGAGGTATATTGGATTAGGTCCTAGCATCTTTCAAATATGTTTACATATTGGATATTGAAAAGAATTCTGTCCAATTTTTTCCTTGTATATCTTAATCCTAATTGAAGGTTTTCTTTTCCCTTGCACTTCTTGAGCAGATTCCAGACACCAAGACAGGAACTTCTAATGTAGTTGCAGTTTTGGTTGATGGAAGGCCGTTGGGTCAGTCGATGCAGCAGGGAGTGTGCTAAAATTCTTCATCGAGATGGTGAATCTGAGCAAATTCTTCATGAATTGAAATCAAAGGATTTTATGGTATGTTTTCTCACTGCTCCCATCCTATGTCGTCCAAAACCTTCTTCCCCACTAAAATGTCATTTTTTTCCAGCCTCAACACTGCCTAGAATACAAAATTAAGATGATGTTTATTGAGTAGTCAATATGAGGAGAGTAATTTACATTTTTTATTATTATCGAGAAATTATCAAGCTAGAACTCATGCTATAAAAACTAGTGCTGTCAAGAACAAATAGGTTTCCGCATTCCAAAAGCAGAATGCTTTGATTGAACCAAAGAAAAGCATATGATCCCCAAACACAGACGACCTCATTGCTCATCCTCATCGATTCCCTCTACTCACAAATGACATTCACATTGACAAGCTCAACTTTCTTGCTTGACATTACTACTTTAAGTGGCGATGATAGAGTTATTACGGCTTAGCTTTGTCAATTTTCTTTATCATAGATACTTTCCATGCTTTCGTTAACTTGGTTGTTCTTGTGATAGGTGCTTTCCGTGGCAGTTTACAACCATTACAAAAGGATATATCATGCCACTGTGCAAAAAGAGTTAGTTCTTAATGGACTTCTTGTCAACCCATAATTAGGGTCCTTAATCTTCTAGTTCTTATTAAGTGGCTCCTGTCATTGGCTTTTAGTATTTCTATGCTAGGCTTTCACATTCTAATAATGTTGTCTTTTACTGGTTAAAAGTTCAGTTGCTGTCTGTTGATGCTGCTCTATTGAACTTGCTTATATGAATTCCAGGTCAGGTGTAGAATTGGGTCAATGCAATTTTGGAAGTGATGATAATGTTGAGTTGGAGAAGAGCAATGTACTTTTGATGGGTCCTACTGGATCAGGTGTTGTTATGTCTTCTTGTATATTTGGTTGTTGGATATTGCACAAATTTATTACCTTTTTATATTATCACATGTACATTACTTAAGAGGACTGATGTCTTCATGTTTGTATTTTACCTTGACAATAAGGATAGGGAAGACATTACTTGCTAAAACACTAGCACGTATTGTGAATGTGCCATTTACAATCACTGATGCAACAGCTCTAACACAGGCAAGTTCATTTCTATCTTTTTTGATGTATTACCTACCCTACTGAGTTAGGTAAGTAACATTTAGAACTAGGGTTCATTTTCTAAATCATATGTATTCTGAACTTCTGTGCATGTGATCTCTCTCTCTCTCTAGCGGCTTGGTGTGTGCATGTGCAAACATATGAATATTTTCTGTTATTGTTTCTCTGTAATGATACATACATATATATATATAGTTGGTTAGCTAAATTGTTTCAATAAGTTGAACTGTTTTTCTTTTTCTTTCTCCAGGCTGGGTATGTTGGAGAAGACGTGGAATCAGTATTGTACAAGTTAATAGTGGTATGTTTCACACTATTCAAGTCAGTCTACTCTTTAGCTTTAAAGAAAAATGAAAGTTATGTAAAGGCTTGGGGTGATATTTTATTGATCATCAGTGGTTGGTTCATGTGTTCTTTGTATGTGGGTATAAGGACTGTAAATTTCTTAATTTTCAGATCCAGTGATAACCTAAATTTAAACAATTAAAGACTGAGATAACCACTCGTTTTTATTCATTATCAAAAGAAAATGAATAATGTAAAGGTTTGGGACGCCCTGAGAATCTTTATTTTTTTCATTGCCACCTCCTGTCATTTCTTGCCATTTTTAGTTATTCACGATTTGAGTTTCCTTTTTTACACTAAGTTTGTTAGGGCCGTAGTCCATGGACATTTTTAATCTTCTCATTTATTTCCTGTGAAACATTTAATCCAATTTAATTGATTCCTTACTGATTCCCGCCACGTATTCTTGTATAGCATCAATGTAACATCTCTCTTGGATCTTGATTGGCATTTAGGCTGCTGATTTCGATGTGGAGGCAGCTCAGCAAGGAATTGTCTACATTGATGAAGTCGACAAGATAACAAAGGTGTTGTTTTATTTGTGAATATGATTTTTCTGCTCTTAGTTACTTAGATTCCTGATTTGTTATCATGCTATCAAATATTTGTGCAGACTGAGAGTTCAAATGCTGGCAGAGATGTATCTGGAGAGGGAGTTCAACAGGCATTACTGAAAATGCTAGAAGGAACTGTGAGTGAAACCGTTCTATTAGTCATGCTGGTTTATAGTGTTGTTCCTTGTGTACTTCTTTTGCCATGGATTTAATTTGGCTAATGCAGTGTGACATACATGATATTGTGATAGCTGATTTTGAAATTTTTGTACTTTCTAAGAATTTTAGTTCTCAGGGAATTTTAGTGTTTAGGCCTTTTTCTCTTTTGTGATTTTGGTTATATGATTTCTTGTTATATAAGACTAAATGTTTCTAATTCTCAGGTAGTGAATGTTCCCATACCAGAAAAAGGAGTTCGAAAGCATCCATGCAGTGATAACATACTGGTATATTGGGCCTAAAGTTGATTGTTGTGTTAATAGACATTTTAGTTCCATGTGATTGATTATCTGTGAGTCATACTTGAATGGCAATCATACATGTTAATGCCTATTAAAGCTGCATGCATTTGTATTGTTACTATAAACTATGATATAAGCAGATGAAGCAAGTTTTTCCCCTTTTTTTCTTTAGTTTCTCAAATGACTACCGGTATACATGTTACTTGTGCATCTTATAACTTTCTTGTGATGAATACAGATTGATACAAAAAACATCCTTTTCATATGTGGAGGGGCTTTTGTAGACTTGGAGAAGACCATTTCGGAGAGGTAATGTCGTTACTCAAGCATTTGTTAACGTAAACTCTTTTACCAAAAGTTGCTTCACATAAGGAGAGTGTGAAGAGTTCTCAAGTACTTTATCTTCCCAGACGGCAAGATTCTTCTATTGGCTTTGGAGCACCAGTTCGTGCAAGCATGAGAACCACTGGATTGACTGATGCTCTTGTGACATCATCATTGTTGGAATCTGTGAGAATCGAAACCTAAATGGCTAAATGTTGCTGGTTATATTCCATTGTTATATATTTAGTTAGGACCGTCCTGATATAATTATATCAAGACGGTCCTTACTAGGGAACTACTGTATATATATATTCATTTCTGGAGTTGAGATTTGCTTCTCCGTTTTTCAGGTAGAAAGTGGTGATCTTATAGCATATGGCCTCATTCCTGAATTTATTGGACGGTTTCCAATCGTAGTGAGTTTATCAGCTTTAAATGAGGACCAACTTGTTCGGGTGTGTTCCATCTTCTGATATCTTGCTTATGTGGATTTCCATTTTTCTTTTTCATTGTCATGTAGATCTTTTGGTAGGGCCTTAACATGCTCACCAGAGCACAATGGGCAAGGTTTTTTAATGAAGTGAAAGATTTGCCTTTTTTTCCCTCGAGATTTATGGTTTTCTTCTATCCTTTTAACTATAAGAAAGTTCATAAAATATGAAACATTATTTTTGTGAGCAGGTTCTCATGGAGCCAAAAAATGCTCTTGGTAAACAGTACAAGAAGATGTTCGGCATGAATAATGTGAGAGTTCGATCCATCTTGTTGATGGCTTGGCAATGCTCCAAATGCCTCCATTAGTTCTTGCTGCTGTGGCAACAGTCCATACGTTAGCTTATAATCATTAATATTAATCCTACTGATTTTAATTTCAGGTTAAACTGCACTTTATTGAAAACGCACTGAGATTGATTGCAAAGAAAGCAATGGCAAAAAATACTGGTGCTCGAGGTCTAAGAGCCATATTAGAAAACATTCTTACAGAAGCAATGTTTGAGGTATATATGGATTATGGGTCCTAGCATCTTTCAAATATGTTTACATAATTGGATACTGAAAAGAATTCTGTCCCATTTTTTATCTTAATCCTAATTGAAGTTTTTCTTTTCCCCTTGCACTTCTTGAGCAGATTCCAGACACCAAGACAGGAACTTCTAATGTAGTTGCAGTTTTGGTTGATGAAGAGGCCGTTGGGTCAGTCGATGCAGCAGGGAGTGGTGCTAAAATTCTTCATGGAGATGGTGAATCTGAGCAAATTCTTCATGAATTGAAATCAAAGGATTTTATGGTATGTTTTCTCACTGCTCCCATCCTATGTCGTCCAAAACCTTCTTCCCCACTTAAAATGTCATTTTTTTTCCAGCCTCAACACTGCCTAGAATTACAAAATTAAGATGATGTTTATTGAAGTAGTCAATATGAGGAGAGAAATTTACATTTTTTATTACTTATCGAGAAGATTATCAAGCTAGAACTCATGCTATAAAAAACTAGTGCTGTCAAGAACAAATAGGTTTCCGCATTCCAAAAGCAGAAGTGCTTTGATTGAACCAAAGAAAAGCATATGATCCCCAAACACAGACGACCTCATTGCTCATCCTCATCGAGTCCCTCTACAGAATTTTTTGGCTTACATAAACTATCTTGAAATCAGATAGGTTCAACTGTTTTAAGAATTTCACATCTCATTTTTCTATGCGACGATATCATCCATGACAAAAAGTTGTGCTTCGATAAATTATTTATAACAAAATTAACCTTGGCTTGCAGGGGAAAGGCAAGGTTGGACAGGGTGGATTGGAGGTTCAATCAGGATCCTTGAGCTTGTAACTGAGTCGATGTGTGATCTTGTAAAAATTATGTGTACAAAAATGTAAATTATTAGGGGTGAGCATGGGCAGCGGGCAGAACCGGAACCTACAGGTAGAATCGGAATCGAAACCGGAACCTTCCTGGAAGCGGCATTGTGCAGGTAGGTTTCGGTTCCATTTTATTGGAACCGACACTGTGCGGTTCCAGTTTCGGTTCTTATGTGTGGAGGAACCGGAACCAAAACCAGAACATGAAAAAAGAACATGAAACGAGTACCCGGTTTGGAACCTGCTTGGAACCTGTAGCGATATCTGATTTGGAACCTGTTTTGGAACTTATTTAGGAACCTGTTTTAGAACCTGGGCTCCAATGAAATATTTGTGAATAATGGGGGTTTTATTATTTTACATATAAAAAATTTCAAATAGAAAAATTTCAAATTTTAGAATAACCTAATTAAATAAATATACAATGATCCTTATTACATATAAATTATACTATATTAAAAACTTTAATAAATTATAATATATTAATATTAAAGTTTTGATTAATTAAGTGTATAATTGGAATTATGATCTAATTTAAAGTGTTTTAATGTTATTAAAAGAATTATTTTTTAATAAAATAGTATATTTGATTGAATAATAATATATTTGATTATTTACTTCTATTATCAAGTTTTAAATATATCTATAATAAATTAGTAATTAATTAATTATATATAATAAATAGATAAACATTAATAAATTTAATTACAAGTTAAATATCATACTTAATCAATTATAACATTACATTACAGTTAAATGATTACTTAATTAATTATAATTTTATAATATTACTTAATTAATTTATAGTATAATTAATTATAGCATTACACTAATTGATTACTACTTAATTAATTGACTTATAATATTTAGTATATTACTTAATTAAATAATTAGAAATTTGATTAATTATAGCATTACGTTATAGATTTATAGTATAATTACTTAATTAATTATAACATTTCATTACAAACATTAATACAATATTTAATTAAATGATTAAAAATTTAATTAATGACAATATTACATTAAAGATTTATAGTATGATTACTTAATTCAATATAACATTACATTATAGTATGATCACATAATTAATTATAACATTATATAATTAAATAATTATTTAATTGATTATGACATTATATTATAAACATTAGTAATTTACTACATAAACATTAGCACAATACTTAATTAAATGATTAGATATTTAATTAATTATAATCCTAGTTAGTAAATACGGCTACGGCAAAAAAATGGTACGAGAATTTTACGGGTATAATACGGCAAACAGTGAAAAATATGTTTGTAAAAATTCGGTCATAAAATTCGGATACTGGAAAAATACGGTATGAGAATATACGGGTTTAATACGGTGCATTGTCAATAATACGTTTGGAAAAATACGGCAATATCAATCTTAGGTTTAACACTTTTATGGACTACTTGGTTAAAATCAATATAATATTTCAAATACAAAGTATTCAATTAACCAATAACACAAATACATAATATATAACTGATATTCAAATTAAGTCTCCAGACTCAAAATACAATATTTAGTCCAGATTCAACTATAGTGTCAAACCAAACATATAGATCATAACAAAACCAAAATTAAAAAAAGTTCTTAAACCGGTTTGGATGTAATATGTATAAGAAAATATTAGATAATTTCTTTTTATAATTTATTTTTTTACAATTTTACGAAATTGATAAAATAAAAAAGTGAGATGAAAATATATATCTGATCATCTCAAAACTTGATTAAATACGTAAAATCTTGATATAATTATCTTTAATAATCATTAAGATTACACGTCATCAACTTAGATCCAAACATTGAACTTCATTAAATAGCAATCGATAAACACAAAAACGACACCGTTAGTCCGAAATCAGAAACAAAAGCACCACTATAAAATATGAATTCCTGGCGAAGTAATTCTCTCTCCTCTCCCCTCCTTCGTGGCACACTCATCACAACTTCAACCATCTTCTCTCGGAGGATTCAGATCTGGTCCTTGTACAGCCTTCGTCCACCGTTCAATTTTTATTTTTCTGTTTCAACTTCCCAGTCAAAACAGTTTCACAAACCCTAGCGAGTCATAAGATAGATCTGGTAATTAATAGCTGTGTTTTCAGTTATATTAGTCATTAGCTTTTTCATCTTTATATATTACGCGTTTTGACTATGTTTTTATCACTTTTAAATTCGAAATTTATGGTGGATACATGTCGTCTTGGGGGTGAGATTTTGTTTTTGTTTTTCAATAATTCGTGAATAGTTCATGAACTATTCATGAATTATACGGAAAACCTTATTATACGTGAATTATACGGTAGATTTTATAAAATACGTATACGTGCGTTTTATACACGAATTATATGGCTGTTCATATAATTTGCATATAATACACGTTTTTACTAACTAGGATTATAATATTACATTATAAATTTACAGTACGATTACTTAATTAATTGTAACATTAATTAAATGATTACTTAATTAATTATAACATTCTATTATAAACAAATTAATTATAATAGTATGTTAAAGATTTTATAGTATGATTACTTAATTCATTTTAACATTTCATTACAGTATGATTACATAATTAATTATAACATTACATAATTAGATGATTATTTAATTGATTATGACATTATATTATAAATATTAATTATAACATTACATTATAAACAAATGATTAGAAATTTAATTAATTAAGCATTACATTATAGTTAAATAATTATTTAATTAAATTATAACATTACTACGTTACATTATATTATGATCACTTAATTAATTATAGCATTACATAGTTAAATGATTACTTAATTAGTTATAAATTTATAGCATTACATTATAAACATTAGTAATTTACTACATTATTACATTACTTAATTAAATGATTACAAATTTAATTAATTATAATATTACATTAAAGATTTATAGTATGATTACTTAATTCACTATATCATTACATTATAGTATGATCATATAATTAATTATAACATTACATAATTAAATAATTACTTAGTTGATTATGACATTATATTATAAACATTAGCAATTGCTAATTTACTACATAAACATTAGCACAATACTTAATTAAATGATTAAAAATTTAATTAATTATAACATATTAACATTACATTATAAATTTGTAGTACGATTACTTAATTAATTGTAACATTACATTATAATTAAATGATTACTTAATTAATTATAACATTCTATTATAAACAAATTAATGATAATAGTATATTAAAGATTTATAGTATGATTACTTAATTCATTATATTATATTACATAATTAATTATAACATTACATAATTATTTAATTGATTATAACATTATATTATAAATATTTATAATAACATTACATTATAAACAAATGATTACTTAATTAAATGATTAAAAATTTAATTAATTAAAAATTAAATTATAGTTAAATAATTACTTAATTAAATTATAACATTATTACATTACATTATATTATGATCACTTAATTAATTATAGCATTACATAATTAAATGATTACTTAATTAGTTATAAATTTATAAAATTTCTTGAACAACAAACTAACAAAATTGAATTGCTTTATAGTTAAGATTTGTTAAGAAACACATTATTCAGTCGTATACACAACTTTTACTGAAAACGAAATCAAAAAAAATTATTTAATCTTCATTATAAAATTGTTAAGATACATTACCATTCGGCAAGAAGACTAAACACAATAATCATCAAATAGATTGACCGAACAAAAATAATCATTCAATCAAATATAATTTTAAAATAGATGGAGATATACTTACAATTTGTATTAAATAGTTAGAACGTATACTCAAATTCAAAAAAAAGAATCAAATAAACAACTCATTAACAATTTCAATCGGATATATATGTCTTTACTTCATGCCAATTCATAAAATCTGTTGACTTGTAAACAACAACACAAAAAATAAATAAATAAAAAAATCATCGATTAATAAAATCATGAGAAAGACTGTGTATTGACACAAACTGATATGACTTATAACAATTAACAAAAGACCTAACGTGTGTGACACTATTAACAATTGCGGTAATACACATTAACATACGCCTCTTTTATAACCTTATTTAGACCTTTTGAATACAACACAATAAATACGATTGACTACGAGAAGGTTGCAATGTCAATAACAATGCGCCTATATAATTATTAATAAACATGATGTTTTTACTACCAATACAATACACTATGTATCCCTCTTTAGTCTATTTATTTAGACTTGGAATACTAATGCAACCATTATATTGTCACATCCTCACACCAATAAAATTCAACCACATGGCATCAAAAATCCAGGTTCCTTATGGTTAGACCCTAAAATTTTAATGCATACAACACTAATTAGTATATTATTAATTATTAATACACAATGCGATGAACTATGTAACCCAATCTTTTAGTTATTTATTTAGACATTATCATCAATAAAATTCAATCACTGACAATCAATATAAGATGTCATTATGGTTAGACCTTTAGAATGTCAATGCAAAACTTATATAATTAGATTGTTTCCCATTTTTTTAATTAATAATAATTATAGATGGAGCAATAAATATCAATCCAATGTGTTCAGATAGAGCATTGATTGGTTGTCATCCAATGTGTAAAATGAGCATTCTAGAGTTCCAAAATGTGTCACAGCGAACAACACCTGCATGGGTATTCATGAATCTTAAAGCTAAAAATATCTTATTAAACCACACATAAACCGTGTGCAAGAGAGAGCAATTCTAGAGCTCCAAAATAAAAACAATTTTAAAGCTAAAAAGAAAAAAGAGTCCTAACTATAACTCAAATAGGTAGTTTTTACCTTAGATTTAGAATCAATTTCAGTTATTAATATCTCTTATAATATCATCAAATAAAATTCAACCATATAGTAACTCCAAATCCTGTGTGTCTAAATAAAATAATTCTATAAATGTGTATTGTGCTACGACTAACAACTCGCATGGAATTCCTTACATTCGAAACTTGGGAGTATACCTGGGCAAGGGACCGGTCCTTGCAGGCCAGGCCTAGGCCCGCAAGGGACTGGTCCATGGGACTGGTCCAAATGGGACCAGTCTCTCATGGGCCTGGGACGGTCCCAGGGCCTGAGAAAAATCAGGACCCGACCAGGCCTAAGCCTGGTCGGACTGGTCCCATGGGGGGAAAATTTAATTTTCCCCCTCAAATTTTTTTATATGGGGCAAAACGAAATTTATAGGGGGTTTTAGTTTTTTTTAGGGGTTGATTAGTAAGTTTCTAAAATTTAATTAATTTAAAAAAATAATAAT